GCGGCTGCCGTGGAGAGGCGGACGATGGCGGCGGCTCTGATGACGACGAAGCTTCTCCGGGAACTTCTCGTGTTCGCAACGGTGATGAGATTCGAACGGTGGAGAGATGGAGCCGGAGAATGAATCATCATACCGGAATCCGCAGACTTTTTAGATTCTCATCCTTTTCACCCCAAAAAGTTTTTTTTTTTTAATTTCTTCACAAAAAAGTGTTCTGTTTTGGGATTGAACCTGGTGATTCCCGCTGAAGACCCTATCCTGTTGCACCACGTGTCAAGATATGAGTGGTTCGGATCTAGAATCTAAAGCTTGAACACAGTTAGGCCACGTGGCAAAATCCGAGGCATGATTCAGGAATTAACGGAAGAAGATCACTCTGATGAATGAACTCGATCAAGTTCATGTCAATTCTCAGATGGGGTTGTCAGGGCAGATGCAAAATTTCAACTTTCTGGGCAAGATTGACAGTATACATACATACAATGCAGGGAAAGGTATACACACACACACACATATATATATATATATGATGAATCAGAGTGCATAGTGCTCAGAAGAAGCGAAATCCACCTGAATTGCTAAATCATATATATAATTATACATATACGTTTCATGCGTAATACAATGTATCAGACAAAAAAAGGAAATGAGTATCTAAAGGCCCTCCTCCCTCTTTTCCCATCATTGCAAGAAAGGTAATTTCTGAAGACCCCGACTTATGTTACACTCTGACCTTTCACAAAACACAACAGACCACAAGAGAGGGAGTATAGAATCAAAGAATAATCACCCAACCAGATGAAGCTACTGAACTGAGACTGGAATCAGTACGCTGTTCGTTGTCATGGACGGATCCCAGAGAAGATGATGATCTCTCTACTGTGCTTCTTTGATAGCCTGATCGAGAAAATCATCCGACAAGCCACTCCCACTCTGGGTTCTGTTTCACAAGTTTAAGGACAAATCATCATCACTCCCTAACCCATCACTGTTAACTTTGAACCTAAGTTATCGTGGCCTACTTTCCTCCTTCTCCATGCTCTTTCTTCTTCCTCCCGTGTAACATGGCCAAGCATTTGTTCTTTTTTCCAGAGAGTAAGATCTCAGTGGAGCTCGGCGACACAGCCTGTAATTGTCCTCTACCCTTGCAAGAACAATAGAGATGCGCTTTTGCTTTGATGATCCCAAATGGAATGTTAAATGTATAAAGTGATCAGCTGGAGTTTCCAGCAACTTCGGCGGCTCGTTGTCTCATCATCTCCATCACGGCAGCTCTGCGCCGTGAATCTGATTGCTGCTGCAACCTTCTCAGATGCTCTTTCAGATCTCTGAAGAAAAAATAGTTCATCATGATCAGATACAAAGTCGTATGCACAAAGTGCTGCTGTCTATATCAGAGGTTGACATATTCAATGCCAGCTCATCCAGTAAAGATCTGATAATGCCTCAGGCTCTGTATCTCTCAATTGTTATAGCAATTTCTCCATTGACACGCGATAAGTTAGTATTGACATGTCAAGAAACAAGATGACAACAAAGAGTTTAAAGAAATGGACAGCTGAGGTTTTACCTGCAACGAGGCACATGACACTTGGATTCTTTGCAGGCCCGGGCATGGAGTTGCAGGAGATACCACATTTTCTTGCAAAGAACACAACCTCCCGAAGCACGTACTTTGCATTGTATGCCATGGCGGAATAGCCCCTTCACTTTGCGGCAATTCGGGTATTGGCAATGCGGGGAACGGCATTGTGACGCATGTACCAGAAGGTCGAGCATTTTTCTTAGCTGCAATTTAATTACAAACCGATGTTACCCATACGCAAAGACATCGTAAAATCTCCTAATACTTTGCCCATCTTCAATTTTCCCAGAGATCAGAAAACACCTTGAGCATGCAAGGAATAAATAAGCAAAGATAAGAGCATAAACATACCTGCAAGACCCGCAATTGTCTTGCTTCTTTGTTCTGAGCGTTTTGATCAGCCAGAGATGGATGGTTTGTCAGTTTATGAGGATGATTAGTTCCACCATCTTTGTTGTAACAAGCGTTACACACATCATAGTCAGGGCAAACTTCACAGCGCCAGCCTTGACCAGTTTCAATGTCGAGGTGACATGCATTGCATGTTGTGACAAAGGCAGGAGCAGTTGGGTTATGTAGATGATAAAGCACCATCATCGAAGAATGTTTTGCCCGCCTTAGTGTGTCGTACTGATAATGGTTCCCTTGACAAAGACTCAGGAATGCTTGCCTTGTGTCAAAAAATTCACTTTCAAGTATCTCATCTTTGTCCTTGGTATCTCCATTAACATCGGTAATCTCAACCTGCAAAACAAATAATACAAGCCACATTGTCAGAAACAATGAAATAATTGACATGCAGACATGCTGATTAGTGACAGAAGAAAAAAACTAAAAGTCAGTGTCGTTTTCTCAGATCCTTTAACCAAAACAAGCACAAGAAACTCACAGGATACAGTGTGTGTTTATCCTTCTGATTAACAGGATGTCGTTCTCTGTCCTCGCGTTTCTGTTCCACCTCATAGCACCTGAAAGGTAGATAGAAAATTTAGCTATTGGAGATGTAACTATGCTGCTCTGGATTTCTACATAATTTTCACTTGCAATTTTTCATTCACTGCCAAAGAAAAATCACAGTTCAGTCCTTGTCTGTACTGTCATGTTCGATTCTTCCTTTTCCTTCCTTTTTTTTTGTCCGTCGATAGAACCCAATTGAAACCGGTTTGACATCATTCTACGAATTTGATTCAATTTTGACAGTGATTGGGTTCCTTTCAAGAAGATACAACCTCAGTTTCCACATCATAACAATCAAGCGAAGTTCAAAGGTGTCAGAAAAAGGAGGCTAGACATACATAAATAAGCAAATCATAATGGAATAATTCTTACTTCTCGCATATCTGGAAATTTTTGCACTGGCTGCAGACCCAACGAATTCCAGATACCATCAATATACAACAATGAGTGCAGCAGTGCTGCAAGTGAACCATGATAAAATCTTCCTTCATCGGGTGAATGGTCTCACCAAGCTGTAACAAAACAAGAGAGTAGAATTAAAAAGAAAATCGATAAATGAAGAGAAAGTAGCAGCAAAACTTGTACATAAAAGGACCGAATAACTTTGCAATATACAATGAAAGAATAACCAACAGAATGAATCAATTACTTTATGCATTAGCAGCAGATCCTTGGACGCATTTCCAGAAAGATCGGACTGCCCAGATGCTTTCAGAGCCCTTTTTGTGATGGTTTTCTTAAGTATTCCTTTTTTATTGCCCTTTCTGCCATCTTCTTCTTGGCTCATTTGGTATATAAGATCTTCTGCGGCACCTGGCCAGTAGTCACCGTCAAAATATGGAAGCCTAGCCGCTGTCACTTTAGCTCTACATTCACCGGTTTGAATGAAAAAATGATCGTATAGATTTGTAGTTTCCACTACAATGCCCTCCTTTGAAGCTTTCCTCAACATTGCTAAGTACCTGATAAGAACAAAAGCAACTAGAGGTTGTAATAGTTTTACATGCTAAACAAGTAACAAAGAAGATCAATAAAAGACTACTGGACTGACCACTCTCGTAGTTTGTCAGACTTTGGTGTCTTCTGAATTTCAGGATGACAATATAAGATATAATCCTCGCCTTTCAACGGTGGACAAGCCCATATGTAGCAGCTGGTGAAACCACGCAACTTGCAGTATTCAAGGTATCCAATCTGAAAACAGGATCGTGCCACCCTGTTGAAGCCACCAAATAACATAGAAAACCACATTGGATCATAGAACAGGACTTACCAGAATTTCATGGTAAACAAAAGTACGTAGAGCCTCTCCACTGAAAGCTTTAACGTCAGGTCTGAAGTACTTTACAGAATCCAAATAGGAGAGATAAACACGCCGCTGATTTGGGAAAGAACATTCAGATCCAAACTCTTGGACATACATTCCAAATAAGCATACTTCTACACCTTCAATCTTCTGGAACAACAGAACTACCTGGTAAAATAAAAGACAGGTGGATAATTGTGTAGCACATTGTAGGAGAGGGAAATCCAAGGAGAAAAAAGATTGCAAAAATACAGCACATTTGATGTAAGTGCACATTGATCATTATTACCTTGGACTTATAAGGAAATTCTGTTGGGTAATTATCCTCCTTAAAAATTTCAAGGAAACGGGGTTTGACTTCCAGCTTCTTGTCAACAGAGGAAACAACTCTAATCACAAGGGCTTCAGCACTAGGAATCTGTCAAAGTCAGTCCAACAAGACAATGAGAATTAGCATGTCTGTTTCAGCCAAACAGCTCTCTCTAGTCAAAGCTTTCCATCAGCAATAAAATATAGAATGAAAGATTACATATCACATGAACGCCATAAAACCTTCAAAATCCCATCAATAGATTACCTCATCATAGCTTTTTCCTTGAATCCTGGCTCTCTCCATTCTTTCGTGCTTTAACCTCCTAAATAACCGCTGCTCTATATGGTCGCTGAGTATTGTTCTTGGCAGGTCTTTCGCTCCAAGAACAGCGCTCTGAGGTAAAGGCTCTCTCTCAACACGCTCCACCTCTGCTATATAGCAATAAGGGCAGGTATACTCAGCTTGTCCCCCATCATTCCGTCGCCCATTAAACAAAGCACAGATTTGATGCTGCCAGGCTTCACATTTATCACATTGGACCCACTGCACATAATCATAAAGAGAAAAAAAGTAAGGAAATATTCAGAAACACCATACAACAACGGAAGTCAAATACCACAACTGAGTGGACAGGCTTTACCCATTCTTCAGTCTCTTCATCATTTTTCTTTTTCTCAAGCCTGGCCTTAGGAATAGCAGTCCCTTCCGCGAGTATGGTGTCTCCACGAGAATCATTATAACAGGGAATACAAAAGTAATGACGAGTATCACCAGCTCCGACAGTGTAGTAATTTGCATTTCTCTTGATGCGGCATCCACAAGGGGTACAGTAAATAGGCGGTGGCTCAAAGGTAAGCTTCTCCACAGCACATAATTGGCAGGAATTCTCACTCATCGAATGCTCCATCGCCTGATGCTTTTCAGCTTTGGCTTTACTCTGCACGGATATAGAAGTAAAAGGACAACAGATTCAACAACAATCAACAACTTGGAGACATTATAAATAAACATTTTAAAGAGACGAGGCCTTTGTCAATAGTTAAACACTTTCCTGGTACATGAAAGCAGACCAAATCATAAAGGAAAGAAAATCCTACAAACAGCACATATGAAGGATGGACACTAATAAATATTGTTCCTCAGTACATATATAGAGTTAAGAAAGTTACAAACCTGGCCAACCCATTGCCGAAGACCACGAATATGTTCTCTTACTTGCTCTGGAGTGAACAATTCAGTTAGCGAAACACCCTTTATCGTTGGTTTTCCAGACTTGGACGCACGTTCAGGAGACTCCACCAAATTTTCTTTCCTAGGTGCTTCAGTTTCCTTCTCAATTTTACAAATTTCTTGCTTCGGAGAACCACCACACTTGTCATGTTTAACAGATTCACTGACAGGCCTTTGCTTGGAAATATTCTCACTGATATCATTTTTTGTCTCCTTGAAACCAGATCCTGCCTGACCAGAAACATCAGAAACTTCAACTTTCACTTCCAAGGTATCAAGCTTTGATGGTGCACAGACATTGCTGTGCCTGTAATCCTTTCTTTCAACATCCTGTGGTGATTGCACTTCTCTTACTGAATCAACTGAGCTTTTGAAATTTTCCACTGCTGAAACAACAGGTTGAAAAGACTGCTCCACTTTCAACCGTTTTAATGAAGGTTGCAAATTGTCTGAGATATCAGCACTAGGCGGAGGACCAGAAATTGATCCACCTGGATCATTTGACTTTCCAGCTCCATTCACTTTGATTGCTGCACTGTTCTCGTTTCTTAAACGTGCAAGGGCACGTGCATTTGCCTGTTGCTGCAAGTAATTCTTCACAGGAACGCAGACGGGGCATTCTGAATCCTTGCAATTCTTATGGTGATTAATCAATACCTTTGAGGGATGGCAACGCGGATACCGACATTGAGGTACAGTACAACTGTACAAGTGTTCCCATAACTTCTGAACAGTAATGCAGTTCGGGTCATGGCACTTCCCTTCGGGGGCTTTGCAGAAGCGTGCATGACGCAGAAACAGGAGCCATCTCTGTTGGTTTTTGAACCTGGGATCTTGGTTTATATTTCCATATCTACCTGTGGATCCAGTAGGATTTTGTGGATTATGAGATTCAGACGTAGGACGAGAAACATGACTTTGACCAATAATAGATCCTTCCAATGAGAGATTATTGGGTTGAGCTTCATCCATTCCAGACATTCTTTGACGGAAATCCTCCTGAATGTTCTGTTCATTTGGCATGCTACAAGACATCTGACTATTTTCCTGTGACTGGGATTGCCACTGACCGTGCGGACCTGATTCTGACTTTGGTTGGACCGAGAGGTTGCTATAATTGTGAATGGATCCTGAGCCCAAATTTTGTGGATTCAGCATCTGCTGAATCTGTTGAGTACTTTGAGGAAGTGATGTGCAAATATCATTCTGAGTTGCTGGAACAGATAGAAGCTGAGGACCAGCAGGACAGTCTTCCACAGAGTTCTGAAACTGGTTCTGGAACTGAGATAGTTGGAACTGCTCAGATGCTAGGGAGTGCATAACTTCACTCGGGTTCTCCATCCCCGATTCATGTTTAACATGAGTAACCAGGTCAGAAGCCACCTGAGGCTTCCCAGAAACATCATTGCTAATAAATCTTTGTTGCTGCTGGCTCTGCTGCTTTAGTTGGTGTTGATGAAGAAATTGCTGCTGCTGCTGCTGTTGAAACTGATTAGACTGTTGCTGAAATTGATTGGGCTGGTGCTGAAATTGTTGCTGTTTATGTGACTGCATAAATGTATCTATTAGAAGAGAAGACTGGAAATCTTTGTATCCAAACTGATCAATTGATTGATGTTTCAGTGGCGAACCTTGTTGAATGCCTAAAGAATTTGACTGATTACTTACCAGAGAAGAGTTGGCTCTAGATACGGGGTGCAAATTTGGTGTAATAATGTTCTGAGCATTTGTCATTGTCCCGGCAGATGTTACAGCTCCATACAAATTTCCAGATCCAAAAGGGTCGGGATTGGTTGCGCCATATCCTTCACCTGAAAATAAATAAATGCTCTCAAGCTGATTGATTTTTATCACACTCACTGACTATTGCACCGGTGCAAGAATTACTGAGCATATGAAAACTGGACAGACAGAAGCAGACAGAACTAAGAGAAAGAAATTACCATGCATTCCCGGGCGTTGGAGGTTATCAAAAGTCTGATGTAAATTTCTGGGAGAGTTGGTGTAAGACAGACTTGAATCTACACTTTTTGAATTCATCCCCATACCACTACTCAAGGAATTATTTGCCACACCAGGCGACTTTTGTTGCATGCCAGGCCTAAATCCAGCACCCATTTGATTTTGACTACCAAGGTTGTGCAATATACGACTATTTTGGCCACCAAAATGCTGTCTTTGTTGTTGCTGCTGCAGTTGAGGTACCATTGCAGGCTCAGCAGCAGAAAAGCCACCATTGTTGGAAGTTTCAACACTCATGTAAGACTGCCCACTACTGTTGCCATTGTTATTACCATTGTTGACAAATCCTGGAGTAGGAATCATCTGGCTAGGCATTCGTTGCATACTCATGGATGCCATGGTCCCACCAGCACCAAGGCCAAAGTTTCCTGATGACTGCTGGTATCCATTAGACAGATTACCTGCAATGGAGAAGTTAAGGTGTTATGAGAAAATATGAGCAGGAAGAACTTTTAGAACTGGCATCTAAGAAAAGAAACAACCTCCATGCATGCTGCTAGCAGCTAGTAGACTTCCAGTGTTCATAGCAGATGTTGCAATGTTATTATTTCCAACCATGGCAGTATCTATAGATGAAGTAACCATCATATTCGAATTCCCCCTACTGTGTGGTAATCCAGGAGTAGGTATCATTGTTCCAACAGAAGAAGAATTAGCATGTCGCTGATTGTAGAACTGTCTGCCTTTGATTAGGCTTGTAAGACGAGATTCTAGGGTTTGTGGGTTCATGTAATCCTCCTGCAGCAAAAATCATAAAGTTTCACAAATTAAAATAAAAACATATCAAGATACAGAAACAAAAAAAGGTTAATTAAATCGGAAATATATCAAAAAGTATCAACCAGCCTTATCGGATTTCTAGAGCAGATCTCGATTCCTATAGCTGAAACCTACCCGGATAACTTTTCCTAGAACACATGAGTATTTTGAGATACCTTTGTCACAGCCATTTTAAACAGCCCCTCCTCTAGCCGTCTAGCGACATCCATATACTTCGCCTTCGATGCATCATCAGCTGGAGATGGTTGTCGTTGCTGTAAAATGTTGAAGCTGCGAAGAACAAAAGAAGGAGGAGTTCAATTAGCAACAATCTCATGTGCGGCAATCCATTGAGAAACTCTGACTCCAGACTGCACTCCCTGAGAGAGTCAGATCAATTTAAGCAGAAAGTCTACAAACGAAAAACCAGTATGACATTGATAACACTGGAATACAAACAAATATATTTTAGAAGTAGAAATTTCAGATAATATTTGGATCACTCATATGTTCAAAACCATAGTGGGAATGCTGCCAAAAAAAACATAAACTTGCTTCCCCAACCCACATTTAAACAATTTGATCCATCATATAGCTGCTCGCAACAATCAGGCCATACACCATGAAAGCCAATGTCATTGCCATAAACCAACAGAGCATGGTCCGGACTATTAATAAGGCATAGGTACATAGACAGAGAGTTGGAAACTTACATCTTGCTTCGCATGTACTGTCGAAGTTTCAAAATCTCATGGTCCATGGGAACAACAGAGCCAGGCGAAGGCCCGACACCAGCAGCTGAAAGAGCAGAACCACCAACTGAATTCTGCATTTGGGAGTTCCCATTCTGCTGGGCCATTGTCCCCTGATTGGGAACCTGCCCAGATATCTGTCCTGACATATGAGCCTGAACATTCATGTTACCTCTTCAATCTCCGTCGCCTTCTCCTAGTTCTTCTTGTAACTAACACTAACAAACACCGCATAACTGTACTGTCCTCGAACAGTCACAACACCCAACGCTCATCTCACTGCTCTCAACTATTCTTCAGATGATGATCTCAGTATAGCAGCACCAACATAGCACACACAATTAAGCACTCCGCGAACTGTCTAGCAAGAAAATTTCAGTTCATCAGAATTTGATATCAATCAAGTTGGACTATGATCAAAGCTACTAAAGCTGGAAGCAAAATCACTTCCAGTTTATCAGAATTTGACCTCAATCACGTCAGACTATGATCAAAGCTACTAAAGCTCGAAGCAAAATCACGAAGATCAAAAGAAACAATAGAGCACGAAACAATAAGGACAATAAACAAGCAACCCCAGGTTAATCAAACTACATCAGAATCGAACAAACAAAAAGCCCCAAAGCAACCCTAGGATTTATCTCCAACCTAGAAGAAGGTTCAAGGTACAGAAATGAGCAATCTTCGCACCAAAGAGCAGAACCCAGAGAAATTTCGCCCTCACTGAGTCGCAGACAGGAATTGATGATGGTGATTACGATGATCGAATGAGCAAGATGGCGAAGAAAGGGCAAACAAAGTCGGTGAACAGCCGATATCGCACGTGTGAACTCACACGAGCCGAGTGGGGAACAGAAGAAAAATTGGGATCGAGCACGTTAACAATTCTGGGAAGAGATTCCAAAACCGACAACGGAAGAAGAAAAAAAATGTCGACGGAATTCAATTCGGAAGGATTCCTGTCCTGGGCTTGGAGTTTTCGATTTGGGCGTTTCGAAGGCTCGTTCGATTTGGGGATTTTGATTTTTTTTTCCTTTTTAGGGATTTATTCATTTTTAAAAAAGGAAAGAAATAAACATAAATAAAAAATTTAACTTTTGTAATTTATATTTTAATATTATATTTGTCTAAGTTAATTAGGACAACCGAAGTGCGAGAAGAACAGCAGCAAGCAAGCTGTCGGAGATGTACATGATCTTGTCCGTCCGATCAAAAGTCCCTTAATTTACGAATTTACCCTCATGGTTATCCTGTTTGAATCCCAAACCGAAACCAAAACAGCACATAACAGGCAATAGCCGAACTAATTCTGGTAAACCGAATCTAAACCGATTTAATTCTCCGTACCAAATTCAGCACATAACAAAGGCAATAACCGAACCTTTTTTTTTGGTAAACACCCTTGTTTTGGTACAAACAACCGCCAACCGGTCAATTTCCACACGGAGAAATCAGTATGATTACAATCCCAAACCAACATAATACGGATATTCATTATGGTTGGACCAGAGATCTAATGAGACGATAACCGGGATTCTGGTTAACCAATTTGTTCCATTAACCGAGAAAAACCGGAGACATACACAAGAATCTACAGATACAAGAGCTAATACAACCTGCTGATTCTTCCACACAGGCATAATAGATAGTTCTGATCCGAGTACACGCTCTTCACCAAAGACAATGGTAGAATTGTTTTACAAGAGCGTTTAATTGAAGGTGGAAGACCGGTGTTTTGGTGCAATGTGGAAAGAGTTACCGCAATTGATGGGAGCTTGCATGAGAGGATTCCATCTATCAAATATCATCCTTCCACCACGGCCGATTCTACCCTGAAACCTATACGGAGGTTGCCCGGGTGGAGCTCCGTTTCTCGATGACGATGGAGGGACAATACCCGCAGCAGCCAGTTTTTCGGGGATAAGTGGTTTCGTGAACAGCAATACAGGCTCATTAGGATCCTATCATGATAAAGGCATGTCATTCCAGATTGTTCAAATAAATCAATGCTGGTGACCAGTTTTTGAGAGTGGATGGAGAAGAGATAAAGGGTACCAGTCTGTTATGCCATCCACGGAGCGAGTCCCGTCTCCTGAACTCTTGCCTTGGGCCACCAGCTTGAGATATAGCCAGATTTGGTTCGGCAAAACGTTGATGAGGGACAGTGGAAGGTCTTGAGCGTGCCCGAATGCTCGCGTGATCATCTGAATCCATAAATTCATCCTCGCTCGAACCAAATCTGTAAGATGTAGGAGTAAAACCAGGAAGTGCCAAGCTGTCTTCTAGGAGCTCGGTTTCGTGCTGTAAGGAGCAACAGATAAAGGTTGAGAATCACTTGAATAAGTCTCTATGAGTTGGAAAGGTAGACCAAAGCACGGTATAGTTTTTGCCGAGCAAAAAAATTGACAAAGGAGAACTATGTCTCTGATTGTTAGACTCTATCATATATATTTGACATACAGGAAAACCAGATATTACAAATGCTAAGTTGAAATTTAATATATTCTAAACGTAACATTGGCGTGAAAAGGTGCCATGGAAACAAAAAGGAACCAATCGAGATATTAGAGGAATACCTTGTATTTGAGTTGGATCCTTTGAAGGCTAACCTCACTCTCCATGACATCCCTCTTCTTTTCTTCTCTCTACCAAATATAGAATTTTCATCGAGCATTTTAGGAGAATGCAAACCTCTGTTAAAAAAATAAATGAAGTAACATACAAGTTTATTTATAAAGAACATAAGAACACCTTAATGAGGGCCTCGAGAATGGTCTTTGCTTGGTCAAGATTGCGTCTGACCTGATAATAATGAAACCCCAGAGGAAACACGTTAAGAATTCCAAATATAAGAAACAATTAAAAAAAAGTTCCGCACACAGGATTATCAGGTGAAGTCTAACATTATCAACTCTAGGAGAATTCATTAACCATTTCAGAGCTCGGATCACTAACATATAATTAACCACCGAAAATTGAATCAATGCGGAAAGATGTTCAAAGTTGCATTGTCAAGATGTTGTAGTACAACAGATTAGAGAAACAAACAAATTAGAAAGACTGATCAGATCAAACAACATAAATAGTTTCGGGATCTCACCTGGCGAAGCTTTTCAAATGACTGCACATTGTTTTCTCTCCTCTGCATCTACAGAGAAGTCAGTTTCGTCAGTATTTTTCATCCAGCAGGGATAGAAATGCCATAGTGCGAAGGCATTTCTCATATATGAAATCAAGAAAGTGACAAATATGTATTAAAAAAGAGAAATATAGATTGCAAAAACAAGACACCATACCCTTCTCGTGTGGAGTCTGTGGGCTTTTTCCCTGGGCCTAAACACGTTGTATGGATTGGTGTCATTAACAGGTGGAGGAGGCTGTTTCAACCAAAGGGAGAAGCATTAACTAAATGTGTGGGCAGCTCCTTGATGAATTCATCTTTGCACATAACCAAGAACAAATACAAATGATACAAAGACTAAATGACAGTACAAACCTGTAAACGCCGTAAAATAGGCTTCTGCCATCTTTCACGCTAAGAAAACGGCAGAGAGTAGAAAAAAAAACATGTGTTACTGTCATAATACTACTAAAAAAGGTATGGTGTGCACGAACATAATCAAGCATTACCAAACCGTGCCACATCTATCTCTAACGTCTAACCTTATCTTTCCAATAGTTGAAAATAGCCTGGAAAACCCCATATTTAATGGACAAGGATTGCAATGCCTGAAATCACAAGGAAACAACACATTAAGAATACCTTTTTTAAATGGTTCAAGAAAATGAATAGCATAATATGAATGAGAAGCATAAGCGACAAGAGCCACCATTGTTCCAAAATAATTAAATATTTCTAAGGACGGACTCCTCTACAGGAGGTATTACAAACAATCGATGCAAACATAGCCATCATCAGCACAAAAGTGAAGCCAATATTTATATTCATCATCTGTACTTGCAAGAAGAGAGAGAAATTACAACATCTGTCAGCAAACAGTAGCCGAGGAGCGCTTATTCACTGTAATGAGAACAAGCCTAATCCTAAATCTTTTCTTTTGACTTTTGCAAATCAAACTCGGTTCTGGATACCAAAACAAGAAAGCATAACAAAAATATAAGTAAACCTCAATAGCAGCATCAAACTGCAGAAGCACTGGAACTGGTGAACCAAGAGTAGGTGTGATAACTCCAGCTCTTTCCCGTGCTTTGTGATCCAACACCTCTAGTTTAAAAAGAATGCTCTCGAACCTGTACCAAGCAATTTAGCACAATTACAGAAAACATTGTGGGAAGATCGATGTTAGTTTAAACAAGAGAAAAGTTAAGTATTTTACTAGTTAGCCTCCATATGTGAGGCTTATCAAACAAGAGTCAGTGCTTTTGGTTACTGCTAGATCAAAAGTTTCATTACAGCACTTCTAACCAATCCAACCAATTCTAAGATCCAAAACATTTGTGCACCAAAAATGAGATGGAAGAGTATAGAATTGTATAATATCCACCTAACCCATCTAAAATACCTAAAAACATCAAATATTGTAAGCTTGAGGGAGATTGAAATAACCCACTCTGTCTACACATGTAAGTATGGTAAACATGTCAACGAAGATATAAAATTATAAGAATTGTAGTTAGAAAAAAAACAGGTAAAAGATAGAGAAAATGATGCGATTAGATACTTTACTTTTCAGGTGACAGAATCTTCTTATCCTTGTTAAAATGATCAAGCCAGTCATCATCCTCGTTGTCTAGGTCATACTCCACAAATTCTCCAAGCTCAGCTCGGGCTGTAAAAGGAATTTTCGAGCTCCATATAACAGATAAATCATCTTAAAAGAAAAGCAACAGATAAACATATCAAGTACGAGCACCTACCTCCTCGTGCACGTGAGTAAGAAGTAGGCTGACTGAAAGTCCGTGAATAGTCCCTTTCATATGTATCCACAACGACAAACTGAGGTGTAGGTATTTCCGCAGCCAATTTCTTGCTGGGCACTTGAGGCACCTAAGAATCCAGAAGAGTTAAACCTTAACCTCTCAGGGAGATTTACATCTAAACCGAGGCCAAAGCATCATACTCGTTAGCTTGAAAGAAAATCCCTTAACCCGAACCCGAATGGATGATTCCCTGATATGCAATGAGCTCCAAAGGATATGGTTTATGCGTACAACGACAAGCCAGAGATACATATATACACAAACAAACTTGAAATTCAAGAAAACGGGTTCACCTCATGGTCAGTCTCCACGGAAGCTATTCGTAGCAACTGAGAATTCCTAGTGGTAGAAGTAGGCGTATCATCATCTTCGAAGTCTCTGACCGATTTTAAAATAGGAAGCTTCTTGTGTATATCCAAGGGACGAGGTCGAAAAGATAACCTACTCATTTTACCCTCCTCCCTACTGTTCTTATATCTATATAATTAAATGAACACGAACACGAACACTCTCATTCCATCTTTGCTTGGTCGGTTGTTCCCAAAAGACTGGAAAAAGTACAATCTGCAAATGATAGCAAGTGCCGTTACGCAAAAGCTGCAACAGAAAGCGCGCATATTTCCACTGTAATTCATTCCAATTCAAAAGTCCGCGACCCTAAATCCGAAAATGCAAACAAAATTACCAAAAAAAAAAATGGTAACGATAAGAAAAACCAAAACAGACTTTACACTTACAGAACGTGATAAATGGTCGAACAAAACGTGGCGACAAACACGAAGCAGTCGAGATTACCCGAGAAATACAAATTCTAGGGCCAGGGTTAGGTTAAATTCCCTTCCTGGGTACAATCTGAGTTTCTAGGGTTTTTCCTCCCGGACAAATTCCGACAGCTACAAATCCTCTTCAGGCGGGATTTCTCCGTCTTCAGTGCTTGACCAAAAGGACAAGAAGGGGGCAAAATCGAAGAAGAGAGCAGCTACATAAATGTCGCGGAGCAAATCTGCAGAGGAGAAGAAAAATATTAGTGTAATGGAGGTCGACGTTCGTGATTTTGGAGACAGCTTCAATTGAACCGAGGAGGGAAATTCGGTTATTTCGGGTTCGGGTTTCAATTCCCTGAATGTATTGGGCTTTTAACTTCTAGCCCAAATAACGCAAAAGCCCAGTTTAGAGTTGTTGGGCCCCATTTTCGTTATTGGTAGAAAAAAATTCTTTATTATGAGTTTTTTCTATTTTTTTTATATATGGATACTACTTTTTATTTAGTGTGGGAAAATTTTTTCCGAATTATTTGGAATCAAATTCATAAAAAGTTATTAGTTTTATCTTCTTTTTTTCATATGTTCGTGTGATTTAAAAAAAAAGGTAATGAGAAATTGATTGAAAGAATATTATACTAAAATCCGAATAGAAATTGGTATTTTTGTTAGTTATATGATATATGGAAGAAAATGGTTAAATCCATACTTTTATATATTTTCCCTTTTATTATTCATGAAAAAAATGAAAATAACACTTATAGATTTATAGATGTTGAAGTACTTGCCAATTTTTATAATTTTTTTGGATAAATTTGTTAGTTATAAATTTTTTTTCATTACAACTTTGATCCAACTAAATTTTTCACAGAATTAGAAAAGTTTATATTAATATTCTTTTTTCAAATGGAGACTCGAATTTGAATTTATAATGGTTGATATAGCGTAGATATACAATGTAGACGCATTTGCAATGATGAAGATGAGTATCAAGATAGTAATGTTGACGAAGACATTTAATGTATTTGTATAGTTTAGTTTTAATTATTTGATTAATTCATACAAATTAATTAGTACTAGGTTCATGTATTTTTGTAAAACGAAACCAAATTAATATCTTCGAAAATTGTATCGTATTAATATTGTATCTCCCCGGCCGTTACATGTGAAATTGAACATCCCATTCCATTAGCCAAAGAGAATCCAAGAATATAGTGAAACATCAAGTTGTCTATAATCTTCATTGTTGTTCGGTACTAAATTTCTTTAAAAAAAATCATTACAACACGATGTTATATATATATATATATATATTCTACGTATATCCATAAATACATAACTGGAAACGGTAACGGATCTGTACTAGAATCAAATGTCATTAGGTTAATTATTTTTTAAAATACAATATATGATATCGTTATTTTCACACTTAAAAAAAATCATCAAGCGACGGATAATAAAATGCATCCAAAATATAAAAAAAAAATAAGCCAGTACATTGAGTGGAGTGCATGTGTCGAGCGATCATTGGCTATACATTAATTTCGTGCAATTCTTTTTTTTTTTTTTGGGATATTGATTTTAAGATATGAGGATAAGGATTATATATATGTACACGAAACACACAAACGCAATCATAAACCCAAAGAGCCAACAAAATGGCTATGGCCACTGCCTCATCTCCATTATCTTTCTCTCCAAACACTCTTCAGCTCCTCAGGTCAATTTCCTCTCTCTCATCATATACTTCTTTTTATTGGATATATACATATATTTATGGTATTATACTGTATTGTCAATATATAGTGAAAATGCGAGCCCAAGAGGCGACCGGAGTGCGTGGAGGACCGGAAGAAGGGATGGTGGACGAGCGGTGGTTCGGGCAGGCAAAGGAGTGTCGAGCGTCTGCGAGCCACTTCCTCCGGACCGGCCCTTGTGGTTCCCCGGAAGCACTCCTCCTCAATGGCTCGACGGCAGGTACCTTCATATTTTCTATTTTTATTCTTAATTTTCTGAATAAATCTCTTAATACTTTAATCGTATACGAATTTAAACACACAGAATTAACTTGAAAACTAAATAATACCCACAAAATCGATAGGAAAATGTATAAATATAAAAACAATTTGTATTTGTTTCCAGTTTTCCCCGTTAAAAGCAAAAGCTAATTCAATAACTATAAAATACATAATCCAATAATTATAAATATATTCCGACAAGATGCATTTACGTTTCAATAGTGTAAGAAAAAGGTTATAATATAATTACACTTACGCTTCTCTTGACACTTGTTTCATCCCAATAATTTACAGTCTACCGGGAGATTTCGGCTTTGATCCTCTCGGACTCGGTACGATCGCAACATTTCCCGGTTTACATCGGTTTAACCTGATCTAATAGCCAAACCGAATTAACTCGGTTTTCAACAGGCTCCGACCCGGAACTCCTCAAATGGTTCGCTCAGGCTGAGCTAATGCACAGCCGGTGGGCGATGCTCGCGGTGGCAGGGATCCTTATCCCCGAATGCCTCGAACGTTTAGGATTCATCGAGGATTTCTCATGGTACGATGCGGGGTCACGCGAATATTTTGCAGACCCCACGA